TATGTCACGGGTCACCAGAGGATAGGACCGAAGCCTTAATAAACCCATCCTGGGGATAATCGGAAGCAGCGCTGAAGTTAGCAGTTATACAATCACTGCTTGGGGCGACCACAATCAAAGCACCTATTTGGTAGAAATATCTACTAGTACAACTCTGTCACTGCACTGCCTAAATAGTTGCACTGATTGAGGTAAATAACCGACTATCTTAATCTGTAACCAACAGCAAAAAACGCTTGCAATGCACGACTACAACGAAACCTCTCCGCACAACTTAATGCGTAAAGGACTAAAATGATGACAATGAAAAAAACATTGCGCGTGGAACCGTAATCCAATATGCGGTTGAACTTGTAATGAAACTGGAAACCAAAAAGGTACTTACGTACTTACTTACAACCAGAAGTGATAAAAGGCACAGCTTCAAGCCTTTGACTTCTGAAACCGCAGTTTTTCAATGGGCAGTTAGCCTCGAGTGGTTAGCCAGCCGTGTATCGATTCCTACCAAGGAATTTTTCCTCAGAGCATCAAAAGACACCCAATAAAGTGATTGCAAGTTGCCTGAGGTTAACCGATTCAAAAACTACTACTACTACTTGGTAAGCAGAGAAGCCTAAAAACAAGAGATACAAAATTACTCCTCAGAACGGATGGAAGGACGCAATATCAAAGAACTCATATTCAAACAAAATGGAGGAAATTGCGTTCTAGCGTACCCACGAGATTAAATAATTATAACCATGCAGTTGAAACGCAGCTCGTGGTTCTTCTTAAGCATTCATCTGTGAACTACGGACTAGAGCATAACGCTATTCGATTGCGCGCACAAATTCAATCTTTCTGTCAACCGGAACCTGTTCATGTTTGGCATTGATGTTAGAGGTCTACCAGCACCTTAAATCTATATGGGGAGCTAAACGAACGGGACAGTCAAGTGCCGGCTTCCACTGACCTTGAACAGCATTGCCAATGAAATTTGTAAAGCGGATTAAATTAATTGGAAGTCGTTATGCAGGTTGCTTTGACGATCGTAGCTAAAGGCTCAAATGAAAAAAAAGTAAATTCAGAGCCTCCAGTCCTACTTTCAAGGTTTTGTACTTCGTTCATTAATACGTCGTTCTGGGAAAGTTAGTGAAGCTACTGACGGAGGGGAGGATTCCCCGATGTTAGCCCACAGTAAGCTCCACAAGCTTCCCAAGCACGGGATTTGTATTCAAGTCCACTTCTCACCTCCAAAGAACAATCAAAGCACAGCATTATTTATTTGAGTAACTTTATTGTCATTACCATTACATTTGGAGCACATTTTAATTGCATACACTCGGCTCACTTACCACATATATATAATTTCTGGCACTTGTAGGGACTACTCATGGCTTTGGATCCTTCCTCTGAGGTTCTTCAGTGGAAGTTTTTCTGAGAGGCCTTATCAGTTTTGTAGCGCTTTGGACTTCATGTATTCCGGGTCGATGGAAGGAGACTGAGCCTTGGTTTGGCCCTAAGGCAGATTCACGCCTACAAGAGCAAGACGAATATCAAAGTAATCGCCAGGCATTAGATGATCACATAGGCAAAGTATTACAGGTAAGGAGTGCAAGGGGAACGAGCGTTCCATCGTAAACTCATAGTGTTGCCCCATGCTTCTCTAAAATGTGTTCGAAGTTAAGTTTTGCTCTCCCCCTACACGAGGGGATTAGGTGCTCTAAACTTGCAGCATTATTCATTAGTTAGTCTAACTTGTCCTTTAGACTGCTACATCCTATCAATTATCCAAAATACGGTTGATTGCTTTGGTATTTTAACAGCCAATGAGTCTTCCTTTTAGGTGTTAAATGGTATAATTCTTAGTCAAGTGCATATATTTTGGGAAAAAATGAATATGAATAGGCTTTTCCTTACACGGCTGAGGCAATGTGGTCTTCAAGGTGCTTGCCACTCATGCCGGCAGCCAAAAAAACAAAGCAACGTATTCACCTTCTTCGTCAGCCACCAAAATGAATTTTAAGCTGAAACAAGACGCTTACCATACAGCTTCTACAGTTTTACATCTCTGCGTGTCCAAAAGAATATGCGGTTTCATCTTAGTAGTTTCAGTTAATTGTGAATTTTTTTATTCAACTAAAAAACGTCCATCGCATCAGAAACTATGGAATTTGGCAAAGTCTCATGCAGAGGTGGTTTTGTGTAGGATCGTTTTGGACACCTGTAGACAAGTAGGGTTGAAGAAACTCTGAAACAAGGCATTCGTGGATGATTCACAGCAAGTGTCGTTTCAGTTGTGGATAGCTTATCTGTGGAGCATGAGAATGGCGTCATATGACAAAGGCAGACATACTCTCGGTCATTCTATTATGGACAAATAAAATAGGGCCATTATAAAAACAAACAACGACGCGGCGTCTCGATACAGTCCAAGGCTAAATGCGGAAGGCAGAATGGTCAATCAACGTGGCAAAAGTATTGTTTAAACAGAGGACTTCATCATTTTAATACAAGCAGTCAAAAAATAAAATATTACATTTTCCATCGTCTCTTGCATGGGTATCCTTATAAATTTGGCTTATGCCGGGGTTCTGGCCAGCGAGACTCCACGTGCCAAAAGAGATGGTTGTGATGATCATGATTTAAAGATTCTAGTTGCAGTAGGTCTTGCCGGTCTTGAGGTGAAATACCGAATAGTGTCGATTACAAGATTGGTTTCTGCCACTACTTTGTATATATAAAAGGCCTTTGGTGCGTTGGCAAGTGCTCCCGATGTGGTATGATGGACTGGCAGACTCAGGGAGAAAGAGAGTGAGATTACAGTCGATAGGTGGGTTTCGAGACGAGTGATCGGTGCAGGCAATGCTGGGTGGTGGAAACACACCTAAACGCAACTGAGAGATTTTTCAGCGCGTTTGCCTCTCTGCCGTCAAAAGTCGTCAAAAGATCCAAGATGGGCTAAACAAAGCGAAGCCACCGCACAGCGTTTGGAGCAGACGCATCCACAGATCCAAAAAAAGTAATAACTTCTGTAATAGTGCCACTTTCGTTTTCCGTCGTTCGCCACTCCTTTTATGCATTTTCACAACCATCTCATAGAGAAAACCATTACCAGTCTACTACAAGCCCTCCATTCTCATTCTTTCTTCTTCGCCTACTTTCAAGGACTTTTCGTCTTAATACAAATGTTAGGAAAGCTTTCGTTAAAGTTATTGTCTCGCCTAAGGGCCAAATCAACCAGGCGGCTAAAAAAATAAGTAGTAGGCATTAACGTAATGTCCAGGCAAACAGCAACATCAATGCAGGATTGTAAGAGACAAAAGTTAAAACGTTCATCGCAAAGTGTGGTTTTGCTCATAACAGTTGATGCCACGGTGTTGATGAGAACGATGAGATGTGCATCGCGCCCCTTGCAATGGTCCGAGTTTCGTTGGACATCTGCTTTAAAGCAGTGCC